CCCCTTCCGGAGGGCTGCATCCCAGCCGAGTGCGCGAACCTCGGGATCCCCGCACTAGGGATTTCCCGGAACTCGCGCTGCGCGGACTCGACTCGGAGCCTCCGTGCGCCGCGGAGAAATGCCTGCACCAGAAAGGGAGGGGGTGGGGAGAGACGGGAGGAAGGGGAGAGCAGGAGCGGGGCCTGAAGAGGGAGGAGGAAAAGAAGGAGAGGGGAAAAGGCGGAGGAAGGGGCCAAAGGAGGGAAGGCAGAAGAAAAAGATCGGCGGGAAGGAGGGACGGAGTTTCCAGGGACAGGGCCGTTTACTGGAATCAGTCTGGCAGGTCTCTCACCGGCCCAAGGACAAGGCTCGCCCAGACTCACAGCCTGCCCCTCTGGCTTCCAGACCAAGGGCACATAGAGGTCGGAGCCTCCCCAGAAGCCACACCTGGCCTGGTGGAGAAGGAAGGGACTCAGAGGTTGTACACCTGTGGGAACATCGCGGGGGGTGGGCTAGGTCGGCCGCTACAGATCAGAGAGCGCCCCTGCACCAGAGCCCTGCCCCTGCCTGGTCCATAATACCCCCTCCCAGGCTGGCAACCTGGCCCAAGTACCCGCAACTTAGTTCACCAACGTGTTGAACTTCCCTGGACTGGTCTCCACATTCCTGAGCAGAGAATCCTGTGTGCTCTCTGTCTGGGCATAGGAACTAGCCGGCCCTACAGATTTCCATGTTCTGATTCCCGCTGAGGCCCTGCAACTTGCCCACCCTCTCTCCACCCCTTCAAGTTTGACAACTATAAGCTTCTCTCCCACCTGCCTTCTAGCATTCTCTTTGTGTTCTCCAAACCTCGAAACCTGGCTTCTAGGTGCCCTAGTCTATAAAGAGGACCCCCACACCCTAGCCTGGCACCCAGCTGGACCACTGATTCGGTTGTCTTTCCCCAGAAAAACCAAAGGTGTATCAAGGTGTCCGGGTGAAGATCACTGTGAAGGAGCTGCTGCAGCAGAGAAGGGCGCACCAGGCAGCCTCAGGGGGAACCGTAAGCATAAACCCTTCACTTAACTCCCAACTCTTGTTAGGCTGCATTCAATCTTGCATCTGGGAAGGTGTGGAGGCCACCCTGGGCCCCAGTCACCACACCCAGACTTGGCCTTCCTCAGCTGTTATAAATTTGGTGCCCAGCTTCGTCCTAGTTCAGCACAGGAAGCCACAAAGAACAGCTGTGGCATGTCATGGGGGTCAGTATTTGGGGAGCCTGTCCCTCACTGATCCTAGTTAGTAAGAAGAGCTTGCTGATTCTGTGTAGGGAGAAGAGCAGCCTGCAGATAAGTAGGTTGTGACTCTGTTAGGAAGACAGTGCATGTGTCCACACATATGCAAAGAAAATCTCTCCCAGAAATTTACTTAATTTTAGGAAGCCCTTCAAGGATAGAATCTCTGTGGAACAGACCCCCTCCCTCCTCAGTCTTCTGGAACCCAGCCTCTGAGGTAATTTATCTGTAAATCACCAGTCACTAAAAGTTTCCAACAGAAAGGGGCCATGTCTCTGCAGAGGAGACAGCTTGGAATGTAGAACCTCCTCCTTAAGATGTAATGAAGTTTTATGTAGATTATCACAAGCTTACCTGCACAGTCATAAGAGTACCCTGCCACCTCTATACATTCTAAGCAGATAGTACCGCCAAAAGCTCTCGGGGCAGCTGCAGAACCAAATAAAGTAGGTCTGGTTATCTTCCAAGGCAGGGAAATTCATCGCTAAAAGCCCCTGATTGTACAATTGCTTGTGGGTTGGTTTAGGTGTGCATGTAGGATCTGACAGCTGGGGCCCATGTTGCCAATGTCAGCATTGGTGCTGTCTCCAGCTTATTGTTGTCTCCCTCACAGCAGGTTTTGTGCCTGGTGCTACTTGTGTGCAGGGCACGACTTCACGTAATGAACTTTGTGGGACAAGGAAATGATGTAGGGGTGGTGAGCACAGGTTCTTGGAGCCAGTGGAGTAAGTTTACACCTTACTGCCTCCATGGTGTGTATCTGAGCAAGTTGTCCCTCCTCTCTTGCCTCAGTTTTCTCATCTTTAAACTGGAGATAAGATTCTGTAAGGGTTAACTGAGTTATTGTGTATAAACCACTTAGAGGAGTACTTTCCGCGTAGTAAGTTCTCAGTTAATGTTAGCTATCATTATTATTTGTGAAAAGCAACTACATTAAAATTACAACCAAGGCTTGGAAGCCAGGTTTTCAATAATGTTCATCTGCACCCTTTGCACAGAGTGTGAGGTTCAGGTGTGAGCTGTGAGCTGGCTGTGATATGGTACGTATAGCACAACTTTTAATTTGCTGGCAAAGTTATTACCTCCATGTACAGAATTTCAGCTAACATGATAAAACGTCCTTCCACTTGTGGTGAGTTTTACAGTGGTTCTTTAAAAGCATTTTTTTTTTTTTTGCACACTCATTATTTCATTTAACTGTTATAATAACCAGGGAAGGTAGGTAGATCAGGGATCTCTATGCCTCTATTACAGCTGAAGCTCAAAGTCTTGCAGTTAACTGATGGTAGAGCTAAAAGTAGAACCGAAGTCTTCTTATTTTTAATACAAAAATGTATCTTCCCACCTGTTGGCTCCCTAAATTCATCTTTCTGTAGATCCAACTGAGCTGAGCAGGAATCTGATAACCTCAGCCATCAACCCCTTCAATTCATAAATAATTATAAAATTAATCAAACAGGAACAAGGGAACTGGGAAATGCTTCTGGAGCAAAAATTAAAAAGTCATCAAGCCGTTCATAACAAAATGTAATCTTTCACTACGGAGGTTTGGTACATGTTAGAATTCTGCTTCAGCTACACCTGGAGAAGTTCCTCTGGGCATGGTGATTTTATTGCTGTTGGCCTCTTGCAGGTTGGTTTGGCCACTGTTCCCCTGTTAGCTAGCTGCAGGAAGGAAAGCAAGGGTTAAGTATTTCACTTGTGTATCTGACCAGGATCTGTTCCCTGGAGAGGTTGACTTATCTACGTTTTCCTCAATTGCCCCCTGAGATATAATAAAGCAGCACTTCCAAACCAGTGCCTGCAGAGGTTCCCTGTACAGTATATCGCCCATGCCCTCACAGGCGGGTGGAACACACACGGATGATTTAATTACGAGAGCCAGATGTACAGTCCCTCCGTGGGAACCATCAGGAGGACCTAGGATTCCAGGAAAGCTGTGAAGGTATGCTCAGTAGGCAAGGATGGCAGATACCAGGAGATAATGTATGCCTGCTTCTTGGTGTAGACTCTTCTGGTTTAACAGAGATGATCTCCAAGTTGTTCATTGGGTATCGGCACCTCTAGAAAGCTTGAAGCTAAGGAGAGAGTTAATTTTATAAAATATACAAAGCAGGAAGAAATTTATCTTAATTTGTTATAAAGTGAAGGTAGTATCCACAATTTGAAATTTAAAGAAGGCAATGGTGAATGGAGGTTATTGACTGAGACAAATCTCGGGGTCTCAAACAGTGCCAGGAGAAATGTGTGTGTGCAGTATTTGTAAATTTGATTTTTTAAAAAACTTGTTTTGGTCAGGCCAGATCAATTTGGAAGCAGCCCTACACACACACACACACACACACACACACACACACACACACCTTTTACCATTAGGAGAAAGGGAAACTTGAGTTAGTACTAATCAAAAGATATAATTTACTCTTTTTTTAACCATTAATTTTTTAACAGCCTTGATGTGTTTTTTAACTTGTAGATTGTGGGTTTTTGTGCTGTTTGAAATCTAAGAGAGAGGTGCCTTTTTTCGTATTCTTGGAGCAAAGTAGAAATTGAACTCATGACTAGAAAGATAATATCAAGTAGGATATTGTAAACATGCCTGAGGGAGATAAGATGGGGAGGCAGACAAACAGACCATGGGGTGCGGGATGGGGTTAATGAGAGCTCTACAATGAAGCAGAGGTTTTAAAACCCACTCCTTCCAAGTCCTTTAGCTCAAGCTGCAGCCAAATATTTGCATGAAAAGCTGGTGAAGGATTCCAGCTTCCTGGTTCGTGACATTACAGCATGGATCGTTTTCAAAATTAACACCACCTTCCGTTTCAGCAGTGGCTGACTGTGGGATCTCCCCGTGGCTCTGTATGGGCGTAAGTGTACCCTGGAACCCAAGAGAGACGTGGTGAACTCAGCTTCCTAGCACAGAATCGCAGAGCAATGCTGGTCCCTTTAAACTTTAAAGCCGCTACCTGAAACCTAATAATAGTAATAATAATAATAATAATAATAAATTCTAAATTACTCGGTTAGTAAAATTATCAATTCAACTAGAAGATACAGGCTGTTTTACTTTCAACAGTTAAAAAAAACAATCTCATAAGCTTCAAGTATTTATAGTAGTGAAAAAAGCAACTTATATAAAAATTAGTAAAAAACATACAAAGAGTTGTAATATTTCCTGACCATTAAAGAAAATATAGATAGGCACCAACTCAAAGACTGCAGCTCTAAGGGAAAAAAAAAATGTTTAGAAATATTTCATGGATAGTAAGAACATATGAATATTTTGAGCTATCCAGGATTTACAAAGTTAGGAATTATGTCCTTTGGGAAAAACAAATTTCTAAGGCTAAGTAGCCGAATATTATATGAAAATTTTGAAGAAAATGATTGGCTAAGTCATACAGGTTGGGATTAAATAAATGTGAGTCCTTGTTGATTTTAAATTGAATGGTTTAATAGAATGGCTCTTCACGAAGTTTTCTTGAACTGTTACATTTCTTTTATATAAAAACTATTTAAATTAAAATTTTATCAAAATTAACAGCCTTTAAAATTCAAGTGGGAGAATCTGATATGGGGGGGGTCCCCAAGCAAACCTAAAAATTGACTTGAGATAAAATATGACACCGGTTGTATTTGATTTTTTTTAGAAGAAAGAATCTGGCTTACCTTAGAGTAGAAGGCAACAGAGTTCACATCAATATGCCTTAACTTTCTCTGGATAGAACTTTCATTTCACTTGGCTTTATGGTTATATTCTTGCTTTTGCAGCTGTCCGGAGCGACCAGTGTCCACCTTTCAGATCCAGTCACACCACCTTCTGCAGGTCAGTACAGCCAGCATTACAATTCCTTCAAAAATCCTTTCAAAAGTGCATCTCCACAGTCTTTCAGTGCTTGATGCAGGGGTTAAGATAGGCACCACCATTTAATTACAATCCAACCAATCAGAAGGGGGAAAAGGCACAGTGACTCCAGGTGGAAGCCCCGCAAGGAAACCAGTGTAAATGTTTCCTTCTTTCTGCACTGTCTGTTCTTTGCTGTCTACTCGATCCCGAGTTTGTTCTTCTCGTTTGTTCTAGTTCCTCATCTCCAAGTAACTAAACTAGACTGCAGGATCAGAACTGTTTTTTCATGTATTGGATGGAATACAGGACATCCTGAGGTCCCAGAATCATGCCTTTGCTTTTGTTCAGTGTCCAGCCGACAGGGGCTTCCCTCCCCTTCTTTTCTCTCTTCCCAGAAAGCAGTTCAAACATCTGTAAATGTTCTCAGCCCAATATGAATAATTCTATTACATAAACACTCCTACCTCCGCCACTCAACAGCTAGGAGTTTAAGGAGTTCATATCCAAGGAAACCTGCTTTGGTGGTTCACCACTGAACTTGCCACTTTCACTTAACCTCACAGGAAACTTAAGACTTCTAAGAATTGCGCTGATGGATACACTCTAAACCTATCTTTGAGCGTTTAAGGATAATAACCACAGATTGGGCCCAATAATACTAAAATGGAAAAGGAGTCGTGGTTTCAGAATTACTCTTGTTTGGTTTATAACAACTTATTTTAATTCCATTATCATGTTAAGCCTAAGAAAACATTTTTTGCTTTTTGTAATTTGAAACAAGTACTACTAACTTGTCCTTTATGTTCCTGGTTTCTGTTTTCATAACTTGCATTGCCATTTATCTTACTCCTCAAAGTTTAAGTCACTGAGTATGCGTGAAAAGTTTAGGAAAGTAATAACCCTAAATAAAAAGAATTATTTCCCATGACATCAGAAGTTTTCCTAAAGCTTCAAACCACTCCATAAGCTCTTTGAGAGGTTTACTTGAACTGCAGAGGGGGGCTGAATGTGGATGCTTTATATGGTCCAAGGAAGTGGAGGCTTGAACCATTGTTTGACTGACAGACACAGGCTGGATCGACATCCTTTAATTTTAGCCCTAGCCACGCTCACAGCCAATTTTCACATTATGAACCAGATTCATTTCACTGAAACGTGGATCAACTAAGGTAACTAACACATCCCAGTTGTTTTCTTCTCTGGAACTTCTTAGCCGCCTTTTCCCTTAGACATAGTAAATCTTCAGAATGTAGGATAGAATGTCATTCAGATCCATAACTGCAATTTTTAAACAACAGCAACAAAAAATCTTCTTCTTTCTCTCCTAGTCTATTTTGAACCTGAGTCGATTCCCTCCACACCCAGTTATTTTCAACCACGAGAATTTTCCAGTAGTGTTTCTTGTGAAGAAAACCCAAGTTGCCTTGACCAGATCTTGGATTCCTACCTTCAGACAGACACACACCCGGACCCTTTGCTCAATTCCATGCAAAGTACTCCACACTATTTCCTGGACAGCTTCCAGGCTGCCCCTTTCTGCTTCGATCAAAGCCTGGTAATGTATTCCAGTTCTTACAAAGCCTGGGTATGGTTTACTACGGGGTAAGAATGTTTGTAAGAATGTTTGCACCATCTCATGAGCAAGCGCAGAACCCCATCTCGGCGGAAACCGTCCAGGAAGCAAGCAGAGAACCATTTACAACTCAGTGGAGGTAGAAATAGCCACACATTGCCCAGGTGCTGTGTGGCAATAAAAAGGCTTCCAGGCAATATGCACTTAATGTTTTTAAACTATAAAGTTAAGACATCTACTAATTGGAAATCACTGATTTAAACAATGACCCTTGGATTTGGGGATTCTTGAAAATGGAATTAAGGCCATTTCTATCCAGTACCAAACTGTCATGTTGATGAGTGGGTTTTGTTGTATTTTGACATTGAATTGGCTGTATTAACTGGTTGGTTTGGTCTGTTTTAGGCACCAGAACTCATTTGAGTCAGAGATGGTTAGGAACATGAAGCCCTCATACTTGAAAGAATTTGCATGGTCTGTTCTTGATGGACCCCAAGCCTTTGAAAATGGGTTATTTAAAATTCCAGAAGGATATCAGTTGTTTTAGAAGTTCTTTTAGATACTCACAGATTTTATTAAACCTTAAGAAGTAAGTTTTTTTAATGTAAATTTCTTTTTATTTTAGTTTTTCAAAAGTCTGTGCAGGTATCAGACTGAATTATAAGAGAATAGGAAATTAACTGCACAGAATATGTGTACGAGGCCCCAGTCATCCAGTTCCCATCCAACTTCCAAGTTAGGCTTCCTCAGTAACAGCCATATACCTGCTTAGGAGAAAACAGAAGGTACCTTTCTCGTCAGGGTACGCAACTTTAGTGACTGCAGGAGTAGTTTCTGGTCTTGGAGTCTCCCTGACCTTGGTTCATTGATGGTCCCAGTTCTGCCTGAGTGTGTTCACCTTGCTCTCCACAGCCAAGGGTGTGGAGAAACGTCCAGGTGCCACCTGCAGCTTCTAGCGCGCCTGAAGCGTGCACTGTGGCATACAACAGGGCTTGATGAGCAGGCGACTTGAAGCACAATGGGATTTTGTGGTTTAAGGACAAAGCATCCTCTAAAGTATGGTTATAACAAAGGAAGCCAGTGAAGCAAGGCAATTTATTGTTGGGAAAGAAATAGGTAAATATAGAATGTGGTGTCATGAAATCATGCAATCAGCAAATAAAATTACTTCTGCAGACTTAGGTTGGGTTGGGTGTTTTGTTTCTTTACCCCTAATGTTCTTATTCTGAGTTATTAAATCCACTCTATTCAGTCCTTTTAATCCTGTCTAAGTTATCAAGCTCTTTGTTCCTTGGTTTTTATTTCTCTAGACCCCAGGATCACCCTCAGATTCCTCCACTCTCTCTGGCTCGTTAGACTACAGTTACTCACCGGCTCATCTACCTTCATATGCTCCTGAGAATTACAATTCTCCCCCTTCTCTGGACACCAGAAACTGTGGCTATCCCTCAGAAGAGGACTCCTACCCTCACTTGCCCTCGCACACCCAGTACGACTGCTTCTTCCCAGCCCCTACCTCAGGATGCTGTTGCGTGTCCTGTGAGGCAGAACACTTGGCCACCATCAGAGCATCCGAGTACTTCTCCTATCCTGGCACGGACTGTGTGAACTTGAACCCCTCAGCAGCAGCAACCAGTGATTTCTATATGAGGGAAGCAAACTGTGACCTCTGCTATAGTTCATAGGATTCATTAATTGGTAATGTGCATGCATATATCTGTTTTTCTGTCATGCCAAACAACAACTTGAACTAGGCAACCTGTTGACAAAACATCACAGGTGCAGTTTACATGTAAACATTTTCAATGTTCTGACATTATCTTAGGCATTCAGATGCCGTCCTCAGGCCTGGTCACTGTGGCACTCCTGTTTCGTATGCTTACAGTTAAAAGTTTCATAGGGAACATTCAATTGTTTTACTTTTCTGTGTAATAAACAAATTCTAACTTTTTTTTTACTAATAAATAATTTTGTATTATTAAATGTGTTGGCTTATTTTTTACATTTTTGAATAATAGTTTCCAATTGGTATGAATAATATCACTTATTCCTGGAAATTACTGAATACTCTTCAGTAGTTTAATCTTATTTATTCATGAATTTAAATTATTTCACGGTGATGAGGACCTTGGCTCCCTGGGGATGGAGAGTACACAGCTGTGATGGCAGACAAGCAAAAGGAGGCCCCACCTTTAAATAAGGTATTTGCACTTCTTGGAGCAACATCAGAGAAATCATTAGTATTTTGTATGTAACACTAGTTGATGAAATATTAATATGACCAAAAAGCACATCTTTCCCACAGCAATGTTAACCTGTAGATAATTCCTTTTGTTTCCAAAGTATTGTTTTGTAAACTTTCTGGGCAAATATTTGATCTTCTTTCTCCTGAGGGCTGCCTTGCCGTTGATGCATCACAAAGTTAGAATTCATTGTTACTTTATATTTCTGAATTTCTGCTTCAGGTCCTTAAATATGCATCACTCATTACAGATTGATTTATAGAACTGGCCGTGTTGTTTATAACTGAATTTCAGAATTTACTTCCTTCGATTAATCTATTTGAACAGGCCCAACCGTCTTTCAAGGTGAAGAGAGTTGCTTAAGCTACCTACGCCAGACCATATTGTTAAAACCTGTTTGCTGAGGGCACTGAGGCACAGGACTTAATCCCTGCACCAAAGTCTGGGAGGCGTCTTCCGTGCCCCCAGGTTTAGTACAGTGACAGCAATGCTGGTGCCATTGGCACTGGCCACAGCTGCCATTTTCTGAGCCCTTCCTGTGTGCCAGATTGCCTGCGAGTTTTCTCACACATCATCTCATTTAATCCTCACAAAACAAGATTGGTAGCAAAACGAGGAGTCTGAGGCTCAGAAAAGTTCTGTCACCTGCCCAAGGTCACCCAGCCAATAAGCACCAAACTTGTGTCTGGAGGACATTAAAGACATGCTTCTTCCTCCCTCTCTGGTGATGGTGAAAAGTTTGGTCCACCATTTGTGAGAGACTTCAGGAACCCATTAAATCCTGACTTTCCCATACGCACAGAACTGTGTCCCCGTTGTAAACAGCCAAAGCTCCTCAGAGGGGCCAGATTGTCCACAGGATACAAAGACGCCAAACACAAGAGTTTTTCGAGGCCCCCACTTTGCGGACCTAGGGGAAGAAGCTGACCAACTGCCATCTCATTCAGCCTCTTTCTATTAGGAGGCAGATATTTTTTCAAAATGACCGTTTGATTGCCCCCTCCCTCAAGATTCCAGTTAGGCTTTGGCAAACTGCACAAGTTGCAACCTGCCCAGTGGGATAAATGTGCCAGGGAAACAGAACAATTACTGCCTTTCTGAGATGCCAACCAAACTCATTTTTAATAGCTTCAAACTGAATTGAAATTGGCCTGTTGTCAACAAATATCTGTTCACCCAGACCAAAGCCCCTGCACACCCCCCACCCTACCGCCAAGGGACAAAAAGCAGTGAATCAAAAGATGTCCAGTGGTTGGCACCAAAAACATACCTTTCCTAGATGATATTCTTTATTTATTCCCTGCTTATAGCCTCTACCTCTGAGTCAGTCACCTTGCAGCTCTAACAGAGATCATTTTTACTTCCCTGTTTCTTGTTTTTTCTTCACATCTCTGACTTTTTGCCTAAATTCAGTGTGAGAAAGATTAAGAAATTCGAGACAAGGGCGAATATAGCTACTATGCATCACAATGAATAGCTCTACCTTAAATTGATCTTAAAGATCTTCCTTCAGTTTGGACTAACAGGTCATATGGATGAAATGGATTATATTCTGCTGCCACCCCATCTCTTAATCACCACAGCTCACACAGAACCCTCAGGACCCCTACAGCAGCAGGTAACTCAACAACCGGCCACTGGGCAATCTAGTCAACATACACTTGGGAAGCTGTATAAAATACAGGTGCCTGTGCCTCAGAGAAAACATGATTCAGTAAGTCTGTGGTAGGGCTCAGGCCTCTGCATTTTTAAAATGTACCTAAGTTGATTCCGATATAGATGGTCCTCTGTCTACACCTGAAAAACACTGACCTATGCAATGTCTGAATTGTTCACTTGTAGGACCTAACAGCACAATAATAACAGGTTGCATGGACTAATCTCTTTCTATGGGCCAGTGATGCGGGCCTTATCTCAGTTAATCCTCAAACAACCACACAAGAGAGATACTCTTGTCCTCATTTTTATTGATGATGAAACTGAAGTTTGGAGAGATAAAATAACTTGCCCAAGGTCACACAACCTATAAATTAGGGTAAGAATTCTTCAACTTAGGTTGTCTGATGCCATGGTCTGAACTTCCAATAGCTTCAGTAAACTTTCCGTTCATTACACTCAGAGGAATGTGATCTTTTCCCTTAAAAGTCACATGTACATCTGTAGCCAGTTCCTCATACCACAGGGGCATTTAATAAGGTTATATGGAAGTTCAAATAATTTCATTATTCAGAGCCATTAGAGACTAATAAAACAAAATATTAGTTAAATGGCAAGATTGACTGTGTGCCTTTAAAATGTAGTCAGTCAAAGGTAGAAGGGGTGTAATTTTTATTAATTAATTAATTTATTTTTATTGAATTTATTGAGGGTGACATTGGTTAATAAACTATATAGGTTTCAGGGAAGAGGATGTAATTTTTAAAATTTAAAACTCAGAGAATTTCAGTTAGGATGAGATTGAACTGATTTTCAAATTCCTTGGAAATTTAAATTAGGGGTCAGCCCTTCAAGCCTAAGAGATAAGATGAGACAAAGTTGAAGGCAGTAAACATTTGGAAACTATTACCTCAAGCAATGGCCCAGAGTAGTGACATCTTGGCAGCTGGCCAAAGCCTGCAGGTGGACATGCAGGAGTGGGGTATAGATAAGCACAACTGAAATGCTGGAGCCTGGCTGGAGGGAGGGTGAGGGGGGTGCTACCTTTTGATTTAAAAAATGTTTTTAAAAATCATATTCAGTTAAGCAAGATGACAGCTAGAAAGAGCTAGAATCAAAGCTAATGAAATTGTTAATAATATAACTTAAAATAAACATGACTTGCCATCATTTCTGTGTGTGTGTGTGTGTGTGTGTGTGTGTGTGTGTGTGTGACTCAATATTCCAGGTAAAATATCAATTCAAAGACCTGCTGATTATTAGAATTAAGGAAAGATTTAGTGTTGGATAGTTCAGAGAAAACGGGATTTGAATTCTAAAGACATCTAATATAAAGATGAATGTGTTAAATTAAGTGTGTTAATAAATATTTGGGCAACACGAAGAAAGGAGAGGTTAATATCAGTTTGGGTTGAATAGGGGAACAAGTTGTGATATGCAAGGAAGCACAGAAAAGTGACATAAAAATAGAGGATGTTATCAATATCTTGTGCATAGAAGGTGCTCAGAATAACAGTTTTTATTTTATTTATGATTTCAAAAGCATGAAGGTCTGCAGCTTTTAAAAAGAAATAGAGAAATACTTCATTTGATTTCTATATAAAAAAAAGGTACTCCTCAGCTCCAGTAAGTATCTATTCCAAAATGTTACATGACTTCCATGCTGGGAACAGCCCTAGCAGGTAAAGCTTCCTGGATCTGTTGGGGCGAAGAAGCATCAGAATGTTACTGGTGATTGAACCTCAACTGAGCAATCACGGTACTTGAATTCTGCTAAGAAAGAATTCAGAGGCAAGACTCAAGCTATAAGAGAAAGTTTATTTAGAAAGTCACACAGGTAGAAGAAGTAAACCATAGAAAGAATGGGCTCAAGAAACAAGTTACAGAGGCAAAAAAAGGACCCTTGGAGCTTGGGGTGGGGGGGCAGGGGGAGAGACAAGGAAATGCCCTGGGGGAAGGGGGTAGGGAAAGGCTCCAGTATGCTTGAGAGAGAGCCGCCTTACTATCATTCTAAATCTTCAAACCCTATGTAATCTTCAATACAAGCTCGGGCAGGGCTGCACAGGACAGTAATTAACTCTTATACTGCCTCCCTTCCTCCTTCAGATAAAGGGTTAAAGATGTCCTGCCTAGAAAATAGATTTTGTCTAGGGGCCTAGATTTTAATATGACCAAAGCAGGGCCATTCAGGGCTGGGCTCTGAGTTTTCACAGGCAAGGTAACTGGCCCCATTGCATATGCTCCAACAGGTTCTGCCCAAAATGTAGGGGCTGGAGGATGGACAAATCTGAGAGGACATAGCTCTGCATAATAATAAAGCATCAAACTCACTGAGGACAGGGATATGTATCCACTGAGAAAACAGTTTTTCTTTCTTAATTTGAATAGAGAGCACCCTGCTGGTCCTTGGCAAATGTGGAAGTGTGTGTGTGATCCACCCTTTGCCACCTGGATAATCAGGAGGGAAGAGGAAATGTCTGCCTTTTAGTTTATTTATTTATTGTTAATTCTCACCTCCCACATGACCCCTACCAGGGCTGGGGATGAACTATAACTGAGGTACATGCCCTTGACTGGAATCGAACCTGAGACTCACTGGTCTGTGGGCTGACACACTAACTGCTGAGGCAAACGGGCCAGGGTGAAGCATCTGCTCTTTAACTTGTCAAGATTGGACTTGGAGTGCCAAAGTTCTCAAGTTACTGCCCCACCCCCACTCGCACTTCTTGGTCAAATAAACCAGATTTTGAAAAGAGCGCTGCTGTGGGTTAGTCAAGTCCTAGAATTGCCTTGAAGGGAGGAAGGGGTGAATCCTAGGAAAAGACCAATTTGGGGGTAGGTGCCACTTCCT